TTTTAAATTTCTAGAAGTTTTTTACAATGTTACTGAATTACTTTCTGAAATTTATTATCCTACTGCACATTTAGATGTACATAAACTATTTAATATTTCAGAAACATATTTTTATTATAGGGATACATAACTTTTTAGAGACATAGTTAAGTTAATCGAAGCTAAATTTAAAAGTTATTGGTCAGGTTGTCTTATGTTATATGCATTAGCAACCATTTTAGATCCTAAGTGCGGAGTAGATGGGACTAAATCATTAATGACTTCTACAACATAAAATTTAGGAATTGATATGCAACTAACTATTACTGATGCTAAGAAAATGTTAAAAAATGTATTTAGTTTGAATGAAGCAAAATACATCACAGGTCAAAAAGAACAGGGAACTTTGACATCAACTAGCAGTTCGGGGCCTAAAGGATCGTCGTGGAGTTTCTTGAAGAAGAAAGAGAAAACAGTAGGATCGTCATCAACACAAGCGTTTACCGAACTAGTAAAATATTTTGAAGCAAATTTTGTAATCGATGACGACAAACTAGACATCTTACAGTGGTGGAAGAGCAAGACCGATCGTTTTTCAACACTGTCCGTAATAGCTCGTGACATTCTTACAACTCCAGTGTCAACGGTAGCATCGAAGCAAGCATTTAGTGTAAGCAACTGAATTCTTGACGAGAATAGAAGCAAAATGCATCTAGATATCTTGGAGGGGCTAATGTGCGTTAAAGACTGGGAATATGCTAGAAGACGAAAACAACAATACACGGATGATTCAATACAATACAATTTTTCTAACTTAGAAATAACAAAATCTTCTAGAAGCACTTAGGTTTGTAATTTATTATTCCTACTACACTCTTTTTTCCTTCACTAAGGTTTTGTCTCGATCTCCCCATGGCTTTTACTTGGCAACGTTTTTAACGAGGCAATCATTTATGTGTACTTATTCGTATTATCTCAATTCAATAAAATCACATCTTTTGGGGACATTTGATATATTTTCTTTTTTTTAATTAAATTTAAAAAAAAAATTACAAGGGCCAGGGCCGGCACGTGAAGGGCCCTTATGGACAGGGCTTGAGTTTTTCTCCTCAGGCCCGGCCTAAGCATGACCCTGCACTGTGCAGGCCATGCTAGGCCTGCCACGGGCCATGGGTTGGACGTGTCGTGCCGGCCCGGCACGGCAAATTTGACATCACTAGATAATGGGCATCCTTGTCAGAGACCTCTCTGCGCCCTTCACCTCCCCAACGGGCATACAATTTAGAAGGAAAAATAATTTTGTAGACGACAAGCAATTCATAACCAACGACGTCCACCGAGTCGAAAACCCCATTTTCGCCATCATTTTTGTCAAAAACAACCATTCTACCCGGTCATATGCTTTGCTCATATCCAATTTCAACGCAAGCCACCTATTCTTCATGTTATTCTTTCGCTTCATTGCGTGCAGAACCTCAAAAGCAACCATAACATTATCTGTAATGGAGCGACCCCGCACAAAGGCGCTTTGTGATTCTGAAATGATTCTATCAAGAACTATCTTTAACCTATTAGCTCGTGTCTTCGTGACAATCCTAGAAACCACATTACACAAACAAATAGGTCTAAAATCACTTTCTTTGGGTTCTTAATTTCAAGAAAGAAGCACACATACGTTGAATTCCACTCTGCGATTGACTCACCATCATTGAGAACACGCAAACAAGCACGAGTCACATCTGCTTTGCCCCCACAATTGCCCAATTTTGCTGGAAGAAAGCCGAGTGAAATCCATCCGGACCAGGCGCTTTCGAGCTGCCCATATCAAATAGAGCTTTTTTAACATCTGTCTCGGAGAAAACAACATCTAATCGAGCACCCATCTCTCTTGTAATCACCGGAGTTACCAAATCAGTATAAGTGGATGCTTGGTTTATGGATACCATGATTCAAAATCATTCTCAGTTTATGTGTGTTTTTTGTGAGAGAAACACTGTGGCGAGCCACGAACTATAATTCGAATCATGACACGAATCGTCGTACCAAACACCCTAAGAAATATCCTCAGTGGAAGGATTACTAGAAGAGAAAATGTCACCTAAGTACTCCTTTATAGCGTTCAGCTGCTCCCTCATGTCTCCCCCATGTACGGATGGAGATTCTACCAGAGCGGCGTTCCTCTGGTTCACGTTCTCCTGCGGTCGAGGAGATACCTATCGGTTATTTGTTGTCTGGGCCGTAGCCATCTCCTGGGCTCTCCTCTTGGTAGCTCGGTGCCTGCTCCCCGGAGATCTATTTGACTTGGATGGGCAGGGG